AGAGAGAGAGAGAGAGAGAGAGAGAGAGAGAGAGAGAGAGAGAGAGAGAGAGAGGTCAATTCATTATAAAACATAGGAGAGGCTGTGTATGGTTTATGTAATGCTATGACATTTTACAAAAGTGATAAGCATCTGAAGAGTTTGGTTTCTGTTATGGGTCCTAGAATGATTCCCCCACAGACACCAAGGGACAACTGGGTGCATGTTTACTAAGGGCCCATCACATGAAAGGTGCAGTGCCAGGAACTGGAGATACTATCATGAGAAAGACCTGAGATTCCCAAGGAACCCTCACTCACAGGAGGACAGAAAAGTCAGCAGAAAAGACAGTGTGGAAATGGAAACACTAGGGTTTTCTGAAAGTATGAGGAAAGGGTGCCTTGTTCCTTTGAGAGTTAGGTAGGGTTTCCTGACATGGTAACATTAAAGTCAGAATCTGCAAGATGAAATGAAATGTAATCAAGTCTGATAGAAAAGTGAAGAGCTTGGATAAGAAAGGAGTTCAAAAGTGTGGTAGGAAGAATGCCGGGCCTTCAAAGATGTCCACATCCTATGTGGAGTCCATGTATATGCTACTTCACTTGGCAAAAAGGACCTTATGGATGTGATTAAAGTAGGGGTCTTGAGGTTCACACATTATTCTGGTCATGTGGGTGGGTCTGAACCAATTGTAAGAATCCTTAAGAGATTTGTTATGACTTATGATCCAGAGAAGTATAAGGCAATAGTTATAGAGTGGTTTTTACTTCTTATTTTCTTTTCAGTTTTTATTTGTTATTGGTGTATGTTGTGGGACACAGTGATTATGTTTCTTGTGGGGAGTTGGTATGTACATATAGCACATCTTAAATCTCTGCATGTCTTCCCCATCCTCCTCTCCTCCCTCCCTCCTTCCTTCCATCCTCTTCCTTTGCTTTACCTCTTTGTCCCTCCTCCATTTGCTGGTTTTAAGCCTCCAGTACATAGTCATCTGTTACAGCAGAAATAAGAACCTAATAATGGAAAGTGAGCTGGAGAAATTGGTTGGGAGACTGGGGGACAAAGTTCACTGCATGTCACTTTAAGGAGTTCACACATTAAAGGCAATAGAAGCCCATGAAAGGGTGATACTTGTATTTCAGAAAGAATTGCATGACTATGGGGAGGGAGATGGGAGACGGGTGTGGAGGAGACAAGGCCCCTTCATGAGTCTGCTGCTGTGGACTCTGTCTCCTATAACACAAAATGGCCTTTCTCTCTCTAGTGGCTGATTCCTTAGTTTTGCTTTAGCGATTACTCTGAATTTTCTAGTTTGCAAATATTGAGTATTGCATTATGAACCCTGGAAAAGGAGAACCAGAAGACCCAAAGAATGAAAGAGCACTGGCTGAGCAGTCTTGACTCTAAGAAATTCTTCTCACCTTGGGTTTCCACATCCTTCAGAGGGTCCACCCCTGGAGACAGGATAAAAAACATGGGTGTGGCCGGTCCTGATTCTTCAAATGAGGTTGCAAAATCTAGTGCTCTTCCCAAGACATATTTGCTCCCTAACTTCTCCTCAACAAAATTTCTGCCAGAAAGAAAGTATATAGGCACATTAGTCACAAAATAATTCTTGAGAAATGGGGGCTTTTAGAAATGAGAAGGTGTGCTCAAGCTCATGTCCTAAATGGTCACAGAGTTCAGATGATCTCCAAGCTCACAGCTTGTTAGGTCAGTACTTGGAGGCTGTGTTACTGGATGCAGGACTGCTCCCTTGGACCAGGCCTCTTCCTGAGCACTGCCCAACTTGTCATTGCCCACTGCTATGGATACTGGTGTCCTCCTGCATCACTCCATCATCAGGAGACTGGTAGGGCCAATGCCTTTGAAATGCTCACAGGCAGCTGAATCTATTGTACTCTATGTCCTAAGTGCCTGCCTGCCCATGGTGAAAGGCCCTACAGGACTTTAGACTCTCCAGTTCTATGATTCTGGGTTTCCTTCGATCTCATTCCACTTAGCAATGATCCCTTCTCCAAACCATTTGTTGAATGCCTGGCCAAACTCCTGACCATCGCTGAGATGTCCACTATTCCCCAAGACACTATTTTCTTTGTAATCTTCTTAGCTGTCATTGATGTATTTTTAGAATGGGCAGCAGTCAGAGTCATGTTTCCTGCAAAATGCTGTTTTCAAGCCATTACCTCTCCGATCGGTGGCTCCACACAGGCTCTTTTCCCTAGCTGTACTGCCACTACTCAAGTATGTCAATGCTCTCTATTGCTTCATTGATCCCCATGCTCATTCATTGAACACTTGGCCACATGGGCTTCTCCACCAGCCTTGGAGACATTAATGTCCACATGGATAATCCTGTAGATTCTTAGTGCCCTCAACTCAAGTAATCTTCCTTCCTTCCTTCCTTCCTTCCTTCCTTCCTTCCTTCCTTCCTTCCTTCCTTCCTTCCTTCCTCCCTTCCTCCTCTCTCTCTTCTTTCCTTTCTCGCTCTTCCTTTCTTTTCAAGGTCTCACTACACAGATTGGATTTATAGTGATCCTCCTGTTTTCAGCCTTCCCAGAATTGGGATAACAGGAATGCTCCACTACACCTGGACTCTGTCACTGGCTCAGTGCAATTGGGGGTGTAGCCCGCATGGTATGTGGTGCTGGGGATCGAACCTTGGTCTCCGTGCTTGCTTAAGCAGCACTTAGTCTGTTGAGCTATCTCGCCAGCTCTCTTCTTTTTTGAGATGGGGTTCTGCTTTGCAGTTCAGGTTGGACTTGAACTCACTTTGTAGCTCAGGCTGGACTCAAACTCATGGCAATTCTCCTGCTTCAGTCTCCTGAGTGCTGGGATTACAGGCAAGTGCCACCATGCCCAGCAAGTAATGCTTATTTCTTCCCCCCTTCATCTACCTGATTACATGGCCACACCATCATCCTTATCATTACTTGGGAGCTTATTCTGTCTGAAACTGTAAGTAGAAACATCCCATTCTGTGACCAGAACCTGCTATATTCACAATTCTTTTGAGGATGTAACTTTACTTCATCTTTTGTATATTAGTGTCACTACAAATGCACAGGAATTTCCATATCTTATCTTGTGTATTTTCCTATTATTTTTTAAATCTCTTTACTTCTTTCCTATCAAATTTAGACTTAATGGGCTATACGTTTTTAAAAATAACTTTATTAGGCATAATTAGTACATCACATGAGTCACTCCCTTAAATGTACTATTCAATGATTTTTAGTGAGCTTATCAAATTGTACATACTTCATCATAATCTAGTGTTAGGACATTTTCATTACACCAGTGAGATCCCTTATAATGGAGGTAATTTCTATTCCCAACTCCTAGTTCTAGGCAACCACTGATCTGTTTTCTGCCTCAATATACTGTGTGGCAGATTGAAACTTCTTATCATTTTCTTGCCAGCATCTTCGCCTTTCCTATGATGGAGCCTATTTGGAATGGGCTCTGGATGAAGATAACTGTCAATCAACACTGGGACTTCTGATGAAGATCATACAGCGGTGAAGATGTGAGCCACAAAGGTAGGATCTTACCTATGAGGGCCCTCAATTCTACCTGGAACCCTTTGAGTTTCCCTGGGGAGATTTTTCTTTCCTTTCTCACAGTTTTTCCAACCTCCACTGTACACATATTGAACCCTGCCCCCCTCTTTCACACAAACCCAACCGATCATCTTTCTATTTCTCAGAGCAATTAGGAACCAGCAGACAAAATCCTTCTCAATTTTCTGCCATTCATTTATCATCTTATAGCCACAGTCATCTGTCTTACCATTTTTTTTTTTGTGTGATGAAAGAGATGTTCTCCCTGCAAATGAATATTCCTTTGGTTCTCTGGGTCCTATCATTTTCTACCATATTAGATGTGATCAGGCCCACTTTCAAGGCTGACATTGGTTAGCATCTATTTCTAAATTGTCCACTAAGATATTAAGAAAACCTATGGCGTATACAGAGTAATTGGCCTTATGGAATTTTGGATTTTGGCACAGTTTCCCTTACTATGTATGAATGGCAGATAGATCAGCCCTGCCCAACTGGACATCCTAAGACTGTTCCCACTGCATGCTTGTCCAGGGCCTCCTGTTACTGTCACTGCCTGCTCCCTACCGTATCGCATAGGTCATTCGGTCCGGACGCATGGCCCTCATCATGCAGAGGTGCTGTAGGGCTGTCTTGTTCTTCCACTCCTGCGGGAACTTCTCCTTCTCAGGACACTCTGACTCCACAAACTTTTTCCAGGTTTTGGCAGATCCTTCAATGTCCCGATCCAGGTTACGGAATTCTTCCATGGATGAAAGTGCCTGGGAAAATTCAAGACAGTCTTGTGCTGAACTGCAGTTTCTCTAGAAATCTAAAATTTGGACTGTATTGGGAACTGGATTGTGCAATTATATACACAATCGTGATAGTATGGCCTGGAGGATTTGAGCTTTCTCCAGGAAACATCATGCAAAAGGGAAGAGAGTGATCGTTCATTCTCAGAAAACTACTTCCAATACTATGCAAAGTTTAGCAGATGAATTGTTCAAGATGTTATAAGCCTCACAGACTAACCCATGCTCACCTGCAGCATATTTCACAGGAACAATTCTGTAAATTTTCAAGCCCAGTTCAAAGTCAGCAACCTCCCTCAGTCACTTCCTCTGTAACTAGGAACAGTATTTTTATCTTTTGTGGAGCACTTAGAGCTACTCACAGAATTGAAACCTCTAGCAGTCACTCTGATTTTTTTTTAATATTTGGGTTCTAATAGTTTTTAATTCTTATCCATCCTTTAGCCTCTCTGCCCTATCTCTGAGCAAGCTGGTAAGTGAGCCTGGGAATACCTTCCCTGGATATTGAAGAGAAGTTGTATCAGGGAAGCCCATGCACAGGGGCCCTTAGCCACCTCTAATTACCATAAAAACCTGGATGCAGTCTCCTTTTTGGCTCTCTCAAGATATTTCCAGACTGCTGGGAATGCTTCTGTTCTCCTCAGAAAGCCTCATTATTAGAGCAATACTTT